GGAAAGCTTACTGTCACTGGGTTTGTTTTTTCTAGTGTCTTTATGCACATAAAGCACTCCTCCACTTGTTACATTATACTCAAACTCTGCCGTCTGGTAAGAAAGCATTTAATGACTTCTCAATAAACAAAGGGACCAAATACAAGGAGTAGGTTATGAAATTGTCATGATTCCTTTAGATTAATAGGTGATGCCATAGTACCTCCTGTTTTAAGAATTCTGATGCTGCTCAGCCATCCTGTGAATTTGCATACACTGTTACACAGTAAAAAACATACAGCAATGGTTTGACATTTTCCCTTGAACAGATTCATGAAACAGTACCTGGCCACAGCTGGAGTAAATAGTGAAGAACCTCTATGTGTTTTTTGAAGTCCATTGGTTGGTGGTCTCCTGCCTCTGGCTCAGTAACACAGGCCCAAAACACACAGCTAGATTCTGGCACGTCATCTTATTTACTTCGTGGTAAGAAGCCACCAGTTTCAGGTGATCCAACAGCATCTTCAGGGTAGCCTAGAAGAACAAAATACTGCTCAGGAAACAAAACACTAGACGAAGGTGGTGTTGACGTCCTAACGTCGCTGCTCTAGAGGGGTAAGATCAAGGCTGACAGCAATGTTTTTTCTACCAACGCTCATCAATGGAACATGTAATTGCTGAATTAGAAAAGCTGTATTAGACTATCACAGACCAGACTAGTTAAGACAGACTTTCTGGTAAAGTTTAGCTTGTTTCTTTCCTGATCTCAGCTTTACATGGATGATTTTTCTCACAGCGGAAAGGGGACATCAGGGAGGGGAGAGAAGCTGCAGAAGCAGTACAGATGATCCAGGTATATTAGAAAATAAAGAAACCCTCAGTTTGACCTCAGCATCAGAACAAGCTTCCAGGTAATTTCCAGGTACTGTGCAGGCTACTTGCTTGCTCTCTCCCACGGGGTAACTCTGGTTTTCTTCAGAGGTGAATTTTGGGAGGTAACGGTGCATGGCACTGTTATACTGCACAGTATGGGAAGCTAAGGCTTTATTGCACATGCAATAAGGGGAAAACATTTGCCCATGTAATTACAACATACAAATCAGAGAGCTCCACAGAAATGGAGGAGGACACCACATGGAAACAATCTCTCATCTCATAGTGCAGAAGTAGGCAATCACAGCTTCTTATGTGGTTTTATAAAGACAATATAAGATGCAAACTAGAATAAATCCAGCAACGCAGACCCTCCAATATATCACAGCATGGAAGTATTTTCAAAGATGCAGAGTACCAAAAATCCAAGCGGACGGCTGAGTCAGGAAACAGGCGTATACATTTTGACGCATTTCATATCCCCTGTGAAAATGTTCCTGGGTTTTCTGAAGCATGCAATGCCTGCTAACTCCACTCACCTTCTCCACGTCTGGCAGGCAATCCAGGAGGGCTGCTGTGTGCTCAGAGTCACTCAGGTCATTTTCGCATCCACTTGCCGTCATTTTCAAGGGATTTTTCACCATGGCATCCAACACCGCTTCGTAGAGCTGCTTGGTTATCAGGGGAGAGGGTAGCTCTCGCAGGTAATCCTTTAGGACGCCTTCACAAGAGACACAAGAACAGCTGCCTTTAACAAGCTGCAGATTCACTGTCCCTTGTTTTTGGGAGGTTGGGGGCACCAGCATCTCTGTCCTCACAGTTCTGACTGCTTCTCCAAGCCAACGTGGCTCAGCTCGTGGCCAACTAAGAATTAAAACCAGGGGAGGAAGATGCGCCGCATCCAGAGAAGAAGGGTGCATGCAGGTACCCCAGGAGCAGCTCTGCCTGGGGTCCCCCTCCTGACTGGGAGGAGGGAGGCAAGGAGAGGGCTCCTAGCAGTCCACCTCCCACCCAAGGAAAGGAGCTACGGCCAACACCAAAGTCCTCGCAGCCTGACGACACCTCCTCCTTTATATACAACTGGCCATTAATTTTTCTGTTCAGTGTTGTACTGGGTTTGCCTGGCAAGGTTTTGGTAGTGGGGGGGCTACAGGGGTGGCTTCTGTGAGAAGCTGCCAGAAGCTTCCCCCGTGTCCGACAGCCAATGCCAGTTGGCCCAAGGTAGACCCACTGCTGGCCAAGGCTGAGCCCATTGGTGACAGTGGTAGCACCTCTGGGATAACGTATTTAAGAAGGGGGGAAAAAAGAAACCTGTGAGACAAATGTGGCAGAAGCCAATGCTGTACATCACGGTTTGGGATGTTCTCCTTTTTCTGAAAGCAAAATGCTAGCAAGAGATGCTGACTTTTATCAGGATCTTTGTATTCGCTGTGCTTTTTTTTGGAGGGGGAGGCTGAAATCAGAATCAGCTTACAGTAGGAAATGGTAGGTCGCAATCAAATCAGCTTATACCGCTGAAATGCTCACAACCATCTATTAATAATAATTCAGTAAGGATTCCCGTAATAGCATCCACAGTCACAGGACTACCACCTGCCAAAGGACTTTCTCCTGTTTAACCCTGAATAACAGCAGAGTTTGGGAGCCATGAATGCCCCTTGACCTTTCTAAATCCTTTTGCTATTCACTCAGCTAAATTAGCCCTCTAAGAGGCTGCTGTTATTTTTTTTCCATGAATCTACGCTTCCCTGCTGCTGCCAGCCCACTTGCACATTCCCCTTGACACAACCACACACAACAAATTTAGACAGCGAGCAGAAATTGCCATCCACTTCATTAATTCCTCATTTTTCTGGCCCACTGAACTGTTAACAGCATTGCATGCTTTACGCGGAGATACTGAATTCACGCGGATGCAAACAGACGTGGGGCAACAACACGACTACTGGTCAGTTCCAAAAATTGGCTGCACGCTTCAGTTTGAGCCATGAGCACCCTCAGTTGTGTATAAAGCCTGTGCCAATCCCAAGAGCATTTCTCAGTCAAGATTTGATCATCAAGTGTTCATTCTTTAGTCTTTGGAGAGCTGTCAAAAAAAAAAAATCATCTTTTTAATCTTTTGGAAAAGCAGCGCTACTCAAATTTCAGAAGGGACACAAGGCAGCACTTCTCTCCAAATCAGCCAGGATTTATGCTGAGGATTCATATTTTATGGAACACATGTTTTGGCTTATAAAAGTATGAATTGTGCATCAGCCTCAGCATTGCAAATACAGCAGTAACACATTCCTCCTCAACCCAGCTCCCTAAGCACAGGCGAGGGAGGTTTTGTGGGCTTTTACTCCTAGCACTAAGCACAGTGGGCACCTCAGGCCTGTCAGCAAAAACTGCAGGTTCCCCTTTCAGCCCAGACCATGCCACTTACAATTAATTAGGGAGTGGGCTGCAGTTACCCAGCAGCAGTTACGGATGCAAACACCCCTTCCCTCCCTGCTCCCCCCAATTCACACAGGAGCCCTCCACTCGGTCTGTTCTAACCCAGGCACTACAGGCAATC